TCTTAAGAGACAGACTGTTGCAAGCGTGTCCTAACGAATTCTTTATACACATTTTAGAATAAACCTTTTATTTCTACCAAATACAACCACCACTTAATTTTATTCCCACAATAATAGATTGCCCTATCTTGAAATGTCAAGATTTCATGTTAAATTGCATCACTAAAAAAAATGCAAAATATCCAATGTGGTTTCGTCTGCATCATATCAAACATTGAATATGTAACTCATAAATATACTTTAAATACAAAATATTTATGAATTATATTACTAATAATAAGCGCGGCGTACAAGAAGACCCTAACCTAACTAAGAAAAATAACAGATCAAATACTACTCGCGAATACACAATCGTACGATTGCATATCTGCGTTCACTGTACTCGCCAAAAGCACGTATACAACCTGTCACCCGTGCCGCTTCGGACCAATCGTCCTACGACATGATTGGGGACTGGAGGAATAAAAGCATGCGACTCACCCGATGATAGAAGAGCTCCCTATAAAACTCGAAGAATCTCGAAAAATCGTGTAGCTTCGCTTAAGAACATCCTCTGTAGTGGTCGCTTATGCAGTATCTGGAAAAATCTGTAAAAAAAGGAAAAGAATTCGTTATAACCTCTTCTGAAAATTCTAGCTGTTTCAGTTGAACAGTGTAAATAATAGAATATAAAGATACTTACAATCTCTCTTTGTAGAGCTTCGCCCAAAAACATCCTCTTCCGTGATGCACTGACTCTACTTTTCCGAACGAGTACTTTCAAATAGAAAAAAAATTAAAATAAAAGACTATCGCGACCGAACATCCAAGCCGGCGAACAAATGACTTTATTTTCGCGACTAAAGAAGCAAAGAGTGTCCCGAAACTCTGAAAGTAATCGATTGTACGCAAAAAACACTGACTCGACTTTCGCGAGGACCTAACGACATCTCCGGTGAGATTGTAATCTGAGACAGTTCGCTGCGCGCAAACATAAACAACTTGTACGATTGTAAACACTGACTCGACTCGACCGCCTTGCGCGCGGCCACTAAACTCTGAAAAAAAAGGAGGGGAAAGAAACACAATACGGCGCACGTGCACCGGCTTATCCTTTTTATTTTTATATCGACCAAGTGTTTACGTTGAAAAAATTGTCATTCAATGATAAATATGCGTTAAAATGCAAATATGAATTTAACTACGCAAAATATTTCAAAGTAATTCTCATCTCTCTGTATTCATTACTCATATATATTTGTTATTAGTATATTATATTGAAGACATTCGTTATTAGAATTTAAGAATACGTTTACTCGTACTTTTTGTCTAAATCGCGTACCGAATTTTATAAATATTCGGAAATTATTGCAAATATCAAAATTTCGTAATTTAGTCAAGCTTCGATGAGCATGATAAATTACGCAGCTTCGATATAATTACACTTACATCCGAAACTGTATATAAATGCAAATACGATGACATCATAAAGATAAACCGGTGAAGTTATTAAAATTGAAATAATTTCGCGACCGAGATGCAGTACGGTACGAGTATTTCTAACTGAAAATTCTGGAAGCATCTCGTTTAAAGTTTCTAACGGTTTCTAACGGTTTCTAACAAGGAAGCCATGTTGAATGCTTCAATTACGCGTTTGAATGTGCAGTAATTCTCTAAAATATTCTTATTTGATTTTAGCAGAGCTAATTATAAAGTCACGATTATGTTTAACGTAAAAACAACGAAAATGCAATAAAATAGAAATATGTTTAACCTATTTTGTTCTAATATGTTACCAAAAGTCACCAGTTTCCCGCCGAATTGCTTCTAATGGGAGTCCACAGTCGTCTCATCGGTGACGCGTTCCTTCTAGCCGGCATCCTGAAACAGAAAATACACGTTAATACGAAGTAGTTATACTAAATTCACAATGATTCAATCAAAACGAAACAATTATTGACTCGAGGAATGTTGCCAAAGATTGCAAAATGATCAAAAACTGCGTAAATACTAACTGGTATCGGGGGGAGAACAGAAATTGGGAAGCCGGTTCACTTTATCCAATAATACCGAGTTAATTTACGATTATTTACACGGAATTGAATAGATATTAAACGAAAGTAATGGTAGAGTGCTAACGAAGATACCAATAACATAAATAACTTAAAGAAATATGTAATAATACTTACTTCCCCAGGAGCGAGGTCACTTGACGTCTAATCACTTCACCTTCACCGAGAAGAATGACCGTTAGGCTACCCATGACTGACTATGATTGGTGGATCGGTGTGTGGAACGCGAGGATTGGTCGCCTCCCTCGCGCGCCACTTCCTATTACTACGAAAGAGAATATTTACCACCAAATTATATTTCAATACATTTTTCTTATATGAATCTGAAATTAATTCAGAAGGGAATGACTGTCATAAAAGGGAAACAAAGAGGCACACACTATCCCCGAAAATGTGATTTAGATTCGTGATTAAATTTGTTTTAGATCGAAAATTTTGTTGCCGTCTTCTCGAAGTTTTCAATCCTCCAATGGTTCTCTAACGCCATCTATGATGTACATATCCTGTCAATTTGACAATGGTGCCAAAGTTTATGAAATACAATCTGACAGATATTACCAGTTAAATAATAGATAAAAACTATTCTTTATGGAGAAAACTTGACTAGCTGAGCTCTAATTGGGTCGAAGTTCATTATTTCATTACTCCCTCATCAATTGCCAGAAGGTACTTGATTGTGCGTATTAAGATTCTTATATCACGTTATCATGATAAAAAAATGTAAAAATGAATAAAAAAGGAACGTGGCAAAAGTAATAACTAAAATGTCCATTAACGATGCATTTAGAATAAGTTAACTTATAGATAAGTGAAAAAATATATACTTTCGCGCGTCATATTTCATCAGTTGTATTATATTCATCCTTTACACCAAGCTACCGAAGCATCAGATATTCTTATTCCCACCAAATCAAATGGGTACACATATTATGAATAGAATATATAATGCTCCATTTGTGCTAATAATACTCGGAATTCATGCTTTATCGGTAATGTCGGGTATTGACACTGAAATGGTAAGGGGCCTTTGGAGTCCTGGAAGTATGCGACAGAAAATTACATTACATGTTAGGTCTATTTTATATCTCGCCTGTGCCTTTACTTTGTGGTATTATTGGGTATTATGCTTCCAAGCAAACGGTGCAGACCGTGCAATTTTTTATTTGAATAAATTTGTGTGTAGGAAGGAAAAGAGATATGTCTTCTCATACTACCGAAATAGTCGAGGAATTGGCAAAGGATTATGCAAATTATGCAAAATTGGATTTGTCCAATCAAGCAAGTATAACATTTTACATAACGTCTATATAAAATCAATGGATTATGTTGAAGCACGCTTTGTAATCATTTTATGTTGGAATACTCAAACTAAAACAGACTTATGTTACAGATGAAAAGTTTTCATGACACCATCGAAGATGTAATGATGCGCTTAGAAGAATTTCAATCAATCATTGAAATGGTTAGAGATTATAATTGATACAAATCATTATTCAATATGGCATGCACACATATGTTTTTTGTTGAAAGGTTCAAACCGAAAGAGTCCAATGCATCGATCAACACATTCCAAGATTGCAAAATTTGCAACAAGAAGTTTTAAAACTTTGTAGACGAATAGATGCTCTTGAACATGTTATAGCAATGGCAAATGTAAATTTAACTACTTTAGAAGCTGCTGTTGATAATGCAGAAGCTGAATTAGGAATTTCTGACAGATTATTTGGAATGTTAAATCCTTTGTCCTTTTTTGTAAGTATTCAATTATACATATGGTTTTAATATAAAGTATGTCTTGGAATATAAATTATATTGCAGAAAAAAAGCCAAGAAGCCCTATTACCAAATAAATTACCATTATACGAACAACCTACAATTTATAGAACAAGGGATTATTTCAATAGTGAATAGATGACATGTTTAATTTGCAGAAATGCAATATAATATCTTCATTAATTAACCAAATAAATGAAGATACATTGAATGTTAAAAAGGAATCTTAATCTTTTGGAAAATGTGCAATATCAGGTGAACTTTGTGTATACTTATTTGGATGTAGGATACCTATATAGTAACACTTTTAATTGAATTATTTTTAGGATTAATCCATAGCATGGAATGTGAAGTAATATATTTTGTTACAATGTGTTATATTTTGTAATCTATATATCTTGCTTGTTTCTGTTATTGAAAGTCCAATTGGTATATTTAAGGAAAAGGCTCAACATGCTGCAAGAGTACAGGTTTTTAATTGTGCTTTCTTTTCACCTACAGAACAGCTTCCACCTATACAGTGCCTCCATCTGGCTAACTTTCCTATGCCACAAGTAACACTGCAACTAGACCAATTTCCCCACTGATCCCATATTTTTGGTCCTTGTCTTTTCAATGTGTCTGCAATCACCATATTTCTTTACCAGAAAGTAGTCTTTAAATGTTCAAAAACATTAATACAAGAATACAATTATAAAGTAGTGATATTTATATATACATGTATAAATAAAGTTTTACTAAACAAAGTTTACACACTCTGTGATGCAATTATCAACATTGGTTACATGCCTTAAAGAAATGAAATTACGAATGTTGTTATTCTATTACATGTGGTTAAGGAGAATAATTGATCATCCCTCTACTAAAGTTGTTTCAATGAACCTGTTATGTATATTTGTGTTTAGTTATTCGAAATGATAATTCGATATGTTATTGGCATCTGAATGCATTAGCATACACAGATATTTTTGTAATTAACATATTAAACCAACTATTTAATAACTATATACCTTTTTGGTATCGTTTAATAGTTTCTTTATTTACAGCATTTTCTTTATTTGTATCGTCTTCATATTCATTGCCTGTTCTAATGATTGACGGTTCCATTCGTTGCGAATCGTCTTCCTGGATTATACCCAGTTTGAACTCGGAAGATGTCTTTGTAGGAGGTATTACGGTGTTAATTAAATCATTTGTGCCTTCCAAAAGTACCATACATTCCGTAATAATATACCCAATTACTATTAATTCAACGAATTTTCTTTTTATTCTGTATAACATGAGGTTGTGTGTGTTGTCGTAATAATTTCACGGCGAACTTGCAGCCTATTGAAATTAACTGATAGGGTATTTCAAATATCATGACTAATGAAATTCGATATCAATTAAAAAAATAGGCTCTTCTGACAGAAAAAAAACTTCAAGAAATTTAAAACTTTCGCGTATATAAAAGAAAACGGGAATTTATTTCAATGCGCTGATTAAATAAATAAAACGCAAATGACTTCCATTTTATTTAACAGAAAACATTATTGCTATTAATACTATTATTAATATAAGCATTAGAATATATTATTAGAATATATTATTAGAATTGTATCAAGTTTTAATTCCAAGCCAATGAAAAATATTTTTATCACATTTTTTTAGTTGGCACGGTTTTATTTGTGCTTTTTTTAACCCTTTTGTGCAGTTGTCCGCTGAACAATGTCGCCATCGAACACGTCGACCATTTCCGCAAGTTGCACTACATAAACTCCAATTACCCCAATCATCCCACTGCTCGTTATCTACAATATTCAACCGTTAATTATTTATATAGAGAATTAGTCGTCATCTAAAGTCTACATCCCAAAAATTTTCATAGTTCTTAACGATGCAAAAACAATGATTAGAAGAGGAGTTTTGTTTACCGCCCACTCTACATATATAACATGAAACATGTATTCATAGTGTTTCATACACATACATAGTTTTTTAATTTCTTCGGTTTCTTCCGGAGAAGCTCGTCCTATCTTTACATGGGATTCAACATTAATACCATTCTTAAGAGAAACGTTAGACATATCTTCTGCTAAATAACTAAGCAACTTTCGGCCATAATTTGTCGAATTGTTCAAACAATATGAACGCTGTTGAAATTTCAAAATCGACGGCTCCTTAGTACGTTGTATTTGTGATTTACTCGTCTTTACCTGTTATATTGAATTAACATTATCATGCACTTACAGTGCAACTGCCAATACAATTGCATAACTAACTTGTACATATTTGTATATTCTAGCATTAGCTGCAAAAATATACGGATACATATGAATAGATCCATGATCAAAGTAATCACACTGAATCTTTTGTCTATTATTGTCTTGATATTTTCCATCGAAACTGAATTTAACAGAAGTAACATTTTCTTCTTGATTACCATAGAAACTGAATTAAAGAAAGACAATTATTAAAATTCACTGATGAACTGATAGAAGACATATATATCAGGTAAAGTTAAAAATATTCATGGAATTTGGTTGACGAATACGAGTAAGTTACTTTGCATTATAATGTACCGTCTGTTAATGCAGTTTAAAGTATTTTCCGTCGATCTAAAGGTATATAATTCTTTGTATTCGACTTCATTATCAGAATCCTCTGGGAAAACGTAACCAAAACAATGGGTTAATATCAGTGCAGATAATAATCGCATAGCATGTTAATCCCTCCGGGAGTCTTATTAATTCAGGCGAGTAACGTCTAAACGGAAAAGACTGGTTAAAATCTGGGGTAGAAACAATCTTGTTAATGTATTAATATAGCTTTGCTATAGTAACTGATAGATTTAACCATCTACTATATATGTATACATATATGTGTGTATAAAATGTTGTTTGGAAACATGTTCAAGTTATTCAACAAAAAATATTGTAGGTACTTCAATAATTTACGATCGATTTTGTTCATACTTGAAACTAAAATGAGAACAAGTTAAATGAGAAACAAAGAATATTGAAAAAATAGAATGTATAATAATATTGTACAGAATAAACTATGATGACATTAATGAATACTTGTAATATTAAAAAGAGTAGCGATGACATTAATACATAATTCAGACGTAAGTAAAAATTTAATGTGACTAAAATATTTTATGCAATTACAGTTAAAAAACAATTATATTTTTTATAACACTTTTTTTCGGAAATTTTAATTTGATATACCCTCTCTATTTATTTTATACAAAAATATCATATAACTCGCAACAGTTCCTCAGGTCACTGTGCACAATTTTTGCAAACTGAAATTGTAGCCTGGCCCGAACTAGATCTGCTGTCTGTTATTTACAGCCTAAAAAATGCCTTATGTGCTCGACCATTTGGAATCTGTCCTTGAAGTCTTAGTCTTCTAACTGCCTCCCTCAAATGTTTTGGCTGTAATGGTCCCGTTTCTTGGTGTGCTTCCATAACATCAAGGGCTGCATTTAAAAAAAGAATCAGTCGACACATGAAACAATTATTACATGGTAAGAGGTTCTAGCTGAAATCCAAGTTGTACCTTCTTCTACAATTTCTCCAACAAACACTTTTGCAATACCAGACATAGCTATTACTACATTTTGTGATACAGAACAACCTGTTATGGTTTGCATAATCTGAGAAAAAATAATATGATCAATGAAGCATGTATAACAGGATATTATATTAGATGCAAAATGTTTTCAAGCACAAACTCCATTACCCTTTTTATAGCTGCTTTTGGAAATGCTGCTCTCCTATACATTTCATACCTATCCAACTGATCCTCTGTAAAATTTGAAACTAATACCCTGTTAAGAAAGAAATTCAGATATTTCTGTCTTTATTGAAAAAATAATATTCAAATATAATAGTTCCAAGCACAAGAACATACTGCATTTTTTCTCTCTCCTCCTCTTCTAATTCTTTCTTACTTTTCTCTTTGCTTTCTCTTCTCTCTTTAACACTGGTTGGATTTGCATGAGGTAATACTATATGATTGCCAAACAGATCCTCTGTAGTTTGATCTTCTTCCCTGGTTTCAATTTCATGTTTAACAATTTCAATCTGATCTTCCACTACTGCACTTAATAAATTAGAGCCCACTTCTTCTACATCCGATTGAGATTGAGAACTCATTGCATCTGATTCTACCTATAACATTGATATTTAAGACATGTAAAGTGACATAATGAAACTATTCAACATAACATTTACAATGTACCTTAACCTGGATATTATCCACATCAACTGATTCTGCATCTTTAGATACCAAATTTCGGGATGAACTGTCTTTTTCTAACTTCTCTTCAATGTCTGTGTGTTCACTTTCATTTCCAGAATCTTCTTTTCCAAATATGTTATCCATTACTTGAATATTTTCGCGAATCTAAATAAATTCAATTTGAAAGGAGTCGTCGCGCGGGGAAAAGTTGGGAACCTCTATTGGAACGAGTTAAAGGACCACAGTCCACCACGGAACACCACGGCACCACGGTCGATGTGATGCACGTCATCGATCATGTGCATTTAAAATACTGATGTATTTACAATGATTTAGCCGAAAAATAACCAAATACACTGTTTCAGGTCACTTAATACTAACTTAATTATACACATATTTACAATAATATACACTTAATAAAATAACAAAATTTCTGTAAATTAATTTCACCAATGTGAAATGAAACTATTGTGCTACACGAAATTCATCAAAACAATAAAATGTCCGCACATAACGAAATCTAAATCCAGAAGCACTGACGAGGTATGTATAAGAATAGACTTTTCATCTTTGGTGGCCTATCTAAACTGTAGTACCGACACCTTAAAAAGCCTGTGGTTTAGTGACCTCTGCGTTATGAGAACGGTGAATCTGGGTGGAATCTGCGGTGAGTGCGAAAAAATTGTACATTGGATGAAATATCTACTCCTGTACACACTTCGTCTATATCAGAAGTTTCGAAACTCGAAAATCCAAAACACGAAAAACTATTAATTCTAACGCGGCACTTAAGATGTCGCCGTTGTTTAACCTCAAGCCGAATCCGCATTAACCATTACACTCATTGAGTTTAGTCTAACTTAATCTTTAAATCTACGTAACGATGGCGCACATTATCCGCACGCGCGCTCGCTACATCGAATCGTAGCGTGGCGCCAGCTGGTGGCCAAGAGAAGTTTAGTCGACAGTGTCGCGACGCCGCGACGTATTTGTCAATATCTCATCGTTTTCACGATTTTCACGGTTCATAGGTACGCGTTCATTGATAATTAACGCGCGATTGTGCTTCGATGAACAATCGTGAACGGTTAAATAATAATATCATTGGTCATTACGTATCCGTGACGAGTACGATTCGTGATCGGAAGGTGAGAATAAAGTTGTCGGCGCGAAAAACGGACATCGTGAACTGACCGCGACTCTCGAGACGGTAGCTGGTAGCTCTCGGTAGATCCGTGGTTTGCAAGTGTATTCCTGATCTTATTCGGGAGGCGAAGGAAGTCTGGTGACTCTGGCAGTGAGTGAGTAGTGAGCGTTACAGTGATATATTAAAAACGGTCAAAACAACAGCATTTTCGGCCAAAATTTCGCTTACGCGAGTTCTATAACATTCAACATCGAACACTACGAGCCTACGAATGCAGCTTCAAGAAGGAGCCGCGTATTAAGATGTGAGTACGATGTGCCTTCGAACGTAGATGGTGTACGTTGGTTGCTTGCCGGATTTCACGGGAAATTATGCTGAACGAAGAAGAAAAGGTTTCGTTTCCAGGGACGGTCCTTCGCCGGACATAAGACAGTGTGGCAGACTGTCTTCGTAGACGGTACGAAAGACTGCCTGTATAAGAAGCAGAAATTATTGTTGTAAACACACTTCACTTACGTAGGACACTGCACGATCCCTTTACGTTCGTGGTTGACGCGCGCACGTCTCTTTCTCTTTCCTACCGTGTATACGTACATACACACAATCACACACTATCTCCAACGACTATCGCATATACCTACATATGTACACACGTAGCAACGTTTCACCGTCGGTCAGTGTTCGTTGTATATAAGCCTTTATACGACGCACACCTATGAAATATCGTGACAAGATCACACGTCGAACCGGTCTTGTTCTCTTCAAACGTTGCGCGAACTCGCTCTATTCCTATCTCTTTCATCCGTAAGGTCCACAAATCCTGATTGTATGTACCTACCAATGTTTTCTGGTTAATCTTTATTTTCTAAACCGCGGGTATATTGAGCATGCTACGGAATATTCTTACATGAGAGGTATTGTATGGGGACGCCCACTATTTTACCGATGACTACAGTTTTCTTTCAGTTTTCTTTGGAAAATGTTTTGCAGCCTACAAAATCGTACATTAATCTGTCCACATTCACAACTTTTGATATAATTTCCTTCTGAAAAGTAAATTCACAATGCATCATTTACTTTTTTCTCTTAGTTAATCAATTGCTCCCAAATCGATTAGGAATTGCTGCCCTCATATTATAAACAAATTGGAGATTTGGAAAAATGGAAGAAAACAGAAGAGTATTGTTGGTCGTTACAGTAACTATAAAATACTTTGAACGCAGAACTATTACCTTAACGACGAGATGTGCATTTTGTACTGTTACTCGAAATATGCCCCTTCTCTTTTTTTAATTGAGGAGTTATGCTGGATGACCTTGAAATCATATCGCATTCACCAAACAAAGATCATCGTTGAAATTGAAGATGGTTTCGACACGTGTATTTAGTTTCCGAAATTCTTTTTTATTCAGTTTTAAACAAGAAACTGGATGCCATATATTTTTCCCAAGCGAGATCGATTAGAACTCGTCGTGACGCCCTACGCGTGGTTGTTCATCGTCGAGTTGTGACCGTCTATTTAGGTGTAGTTACGGGTTTAGTACATAAGTGTCGCATTTATCTGGAGGTATGCGACGTGAGACAACATCGACGAGAACACTTCGACGCAGGAACTCACGGAACCAAAGGTGTACAGAGGAGACGGTCGTTGGCCGAAGGAGAAACGACCGGAGTCTCCTCGCTCGAGACGATGAAGCCTGTTTTACTACGGAGCTACGCTCTGTCAACTCTGTTCAATCTACGAGCAAATTATAAAACTGTAATACTGCCTTGCGAATCATAAAAAGTACAAATTGTAATTTTGCTCTAATAAAAATCACTTTATCCATATTTTATTGTATTTATACATGCTTTAGATTATATGAATTTTTCGAGGAAGCAGGTGCAGGTGCTATTTTTATTAACACATCACGAACTCTCGAGTTACGAACTTTTTTCCATAGTTTGTTTTGTCTTCATTCCGAGTAAGACTAACCATGGTTTTGCCTTCGATTTAAAAAATAAATGGTATAGACGCGATAAAACGACGTTTTATGCAGTATGTTACTTCTTGTTAATACCAACGCGGTTCAATAACGATAATTTCTCAAGAAATTTCACGGAGAATCGTCGCCCCGCGAAAGCTTAAATAAAAAAAGTTTACGAGTAAAGCGTCCCGTGCGAGATATGGAATACGTGTTTACGGCAATCGGAATCGGAGGTCAGTATACCGTTAGACACTGCGACATCCCCTTCTCTATTTCGCCAAGAACAGTGCGGCGGAACATATAAACAACGGAATTTATGTTTTTCAAACAACAAATAATCAGACATAAAACGTAGTTTTCCTAAACTTGGGCAACAATCTAATAAGAAATAGGATTACATACATATACATATGAAAGGATAGTGGATTGTTGCACGATACATGCTGTATTAAAGTAGAAGTTTCATAGAACGCGCTTGCATTATCAGTCGAGAAGTATTGTTGGGCGGAACAAAATGTGATTCAAGTCTCGTTAAAGTAGGAATGGTAGTTCACGCAAAAGCGCGCTTGTTCCTTTCTCATTGTAGCTGCATCGGGTCCTTGACTCTGCCACTGTCTGCAAGTAAGGCGAAACTTTACGTAAGCACTTTCTATCTGCGACGGCTTGAAAACGATCGGTGAAAAACATTCAGCAAAATTGTGTGTATATGTGAACCGCATAATTTCTTCGACCCATTAGCTTTCCTGCGTTCATTAGGTACAGGTATTAAACTATTCTTGCTAACATCAAAACACACAAGGTACGATACCTTGAAAAATTGTTTATGATGTAATAGATTTCTGTGGAAATATATTAACCTTGCTTCGCAAACGCTGCTTAATTCAATATTCGTCGGTGTACCCTTAACGATAACTTATTAACGTAAACTATATTTTGTTCGATTTGAAATGAAAACGTTAGTTTAATCTTAGGGGATCTTTTTGCGTAGGTGCGAAGAGGCTACAGAAGTGGAGACGGATCATCAGCAAACAGCGGCAACAACGATGGGCGTCGCCGAAGACGAGACGCCGTCCTCTTTGACTTCTCATCCCAACCCAAACGTTAACAATCCCAATCAAGAAGGTACGTGACCGACCAACTTGTAAGCATTTCCGTCAAACGACGCAAACTCTAACTAGTGCTTAGAAGATTATTGGTTGATATTGTTATTGTATAAGTATTGCTTGACAATTTGTACAGTAGCGGTACATACAACTACGTATGAGTCACAAAATGAGTCCGCGTTAATAGTGAGTATTCCCGTATTTTACTTCGAAGCAAGATTAAGTTGCAGAACGAGCGCACGTTAATCCGTTCAATTATACTTTCCGGTAGGATCGGTTTGTCGGTATCTATCGATCGTTTAGGTGGAAACGCGCTAATACATGAAACTTTGCTAGTGTTTGCGAGATTCGAACAGGAGGCACACGCTTGGAAACTGATGAGAAGCCTAGTCGAAGACTCCTCTGGGGAAATATTATAATAAAACTGCTTTTTGAAATTCGAGTTTTATTGTTCGCCTTCCGCGTTTACATTTATTCCAGGACGTGGAATATATATTTCCCATCGCTCTGTTCTAACGAAAGAATGGAAGAAAATGGTTGTAAGGAAGGAACCTACCAAACCCTGTATGACGTGCAATTTGTTGTGTAAGAACTATTGTTTTCGCAACTTCTGTGGAAGAAATGGAAAGCGTGCAGCTTCCTGTATACCTATCTTCCTTATAATATGCGGAAGTTCTTTCTGGTCGTGAGTTTCCCTCGCAGAAAACTAATTCATCTTTCTCTGAGAGCGTAGTCGTGAATCTAATTTCGAAAATTTGTATACGTTGCTGTTACGCGACTTCCTGTTCTGATACACAGTTATTCTCCAAATCTATCGATGTTTGTACTAAATAGCGGATTCGTTACAACCGCTAGCATGCAACGTATTCTCTGTAGCCCTTCGTTTTCAAACCAAATGAAGGGTAGAGCACGTCGATCGAAAGTATC